GGAGTCCCCCTTGAGGGCCCTACCCTGCCTGGGGAGTGGAGGGTGGATGGGGTGGGGAGTAGATTGGGGGTGGGGGAGGAGGGGTGGGGTGAGGGGAGGGAGAAGTAGAAGGGATTGATATGTGAAACAAGCTTGTTCCTAATTTGAACTAATAAAAAAATCAAAAAAAAAAAAAAAAAGAAAGAAAGAAAGAAAGGGGAAGGGTTTGTTTGGGCTCAAAATTTCACAAGTGTTAGTCCGTGTCAGCTGACTCCTTTACTGTGCCCTATAGTTAGGCAGTGAAATCAGGTGACAAAGGAATATGACTGCTTATGGTGGTGGCTGGGAAAGGGTGAGCATTAGAAAAATGGTGAGAGATGGAGAGACAGAGTCATCTGAGGGAAAGCAATACAGAGAGGGATAGATAGACACACAGAGACAGAGACACACAGAGAAAAAACCCATAAATAAATACAGAGCTACAGAGAGAAAGCCAGAGAGAAAAATACATAAAGAAATACAGAGATACACACAGACAGAGATACACACAGACAGAGATACAGAGAGTGACAGGGAGGAGAGAGTGACAGGGAGGAGAGAGGGAGAGGGAGAGGGAGAGGGAGAGAGAGAGAGAGAGAGAGAGAGAGAGAGAGAGAGCGAACTTCCTTCAACTGGGTCCCACACCAATAACACCACCATATTATAAATCCATCAAGAGACTGATTGATGTACGGATTTGATCGGAGCCCTATGTTGGCTCCAGGAACAGGGTACTAAGCCTTCAATACATGAGTCCTCTGGGAGCACTACAATCAAACCATAGCACTCTATTATAGATCATGGTGCTCCCTTCCCATGCCACAGCCTTCAGATTGGTGACTGCCTCCTGAAGGTTACTGTCAGAAGTATGCCTCCTGTGCCCATGAGTGGAGAGTTACTGCCATCCCTGGGGACATAAGAGCAGTTGCATAATTGAACTCTTCAATCACACACCGACTTGAGTTGGACTCAAGTAGTTTGAGGTGCATTGCCTCTGAGTGTGTGTTGCTGTCAGAAAAGTCACCCAAGGTACAAGTGCCCACTGTGAAACACTAGAGTTTTCCTCATAGGCATATATTTTTGATTACTACAAGGTAATCACTTACTCCACTACTTTGTAAAGAAATCTTTAAACAATCTATTTATAACACATTAAGCACTTGCCCAATGAGGCTGTAACCCCAGGGACAGTGATTGAATCTGGTTAAATGTACTTACCCCCATCTTAATGATTTCATCAGCCATCTTGGTGAACATTTGAAATTGTCATTGACTGAAGTCCTTTCAAGGTCAGGGCATTCTCCCAGGAGTCTCTTATTGGTCAAAATAATTGAGAGGTTTCTCCTAATATGGGGATCTTGGTGAGGTCACAGAAAATCATGGTACTTTTCTATGTTGGAGCTGTGTCCTCCTGGGACCAGGCATGCTCTGTGTCTGTTCATGTGAGAACTCAATGTGAAGTAGTAATAAAAATTGCACTTGGCATGTTCAAGGCATGAGGTGTTTGCTTGTATGATGGCAGCTTCCCTTGACTCCTCCTGCACCATTTCTAGGCCACTTTCTACTTTATGATGGGAAGGGACACATTTTATTGCATTTTTCACTAGTCTCAGAACATCTTGATAGAGGGATCTATATTTCAGATCCTTTTGTCTCTTCCCTATGTGCCCACCAAAGACACATTGAGTTAAAGAGTTGATGGATAAACAAGAACCTTCAGTGTCCTGACTCGGTTCTTCAGTTTGATTCTTTTTTTTTTTTTTTTTGCAGATTTTTTATTTGAATTAGAAACAAGATTGTTTTACATGACAATCCCAGTTCCCTCTCCCTCCTGTCCTCCCCTACCACCCCCTCAACTAAAACCCTATCTATCACATATCCTTTCTGCTCCCCCTGGATGGTGAGGCCTTCTATTGTTTCCTTTGGGATAGGGCCTAGGCCCACCTTCATGTGTCTTGGCTCAGGGAATATTCCTCTATGTGGAATGGGCTCCCAAAGTCCATACCTATGCAGTTTGATTCTTCTAGAATATATTTGATGCTTTGAAGAAATTTAAGGATTTCTTTACGATAAATAAGAAATTTCTTCCTTTTGAAAATATGTCTTATATCAGTTATTCCTAATTAGCATGAACCTGGGCATGGGAACTGGCTTCTATGGTAGGAAAAATTTCTTAGGGCTAATTCCTTGTGCTGCTGCTGCTGAGGTGGTTGCAAGGTGATCTTCCCTCTATGCTTCCCATTGGAAAATCCTTGTGAATGATGAGCAAGAAATGTTCATTACCTCTTTGACATGGTGGGTCATATTCAAAGAGGCTGATTTTCATGATGGCTCCATCTAGTCTTCTTCACCAGTGATGAATTTTGTGTTTTATATTTAACACAGTCACACTTGGGTCTGGCCAGCTCAGTGTATTATAGGAAACCCTGTAGCTCCTTCTAACTACAAGAATTATCCTGTCTTCCTGTCTAGGTGAATGTCTCTAGAGTTGCATGCACTGCTGGAGGTGAATGATAGCTGAGCTTATGCCTGGTATGACTTAAGGGCATTTTCTGGTGCCTAGGAGATGCCAATAACCCGAGGCACAGTGAAGGATCTATTTATAACCATTAAATATAAGTTTTTCTCCCTTATTTCCCCTCCCCTCCCCTCTTCTCCCCTCCTCTCCTCCCCTCCTTCCTTCCCCTTTCCAATCTTCTTTCCTGATATAGTTGCATGTAGCCCAGGCCAGCCTCAAACTCACTATATATTATCAAAAATTACCACAAGCTTCTCTGATCTTCCAGTGTCTACCTTCTCAGTGATATAATTACAAGTGTGTGTGCCACACCTGATTTATGCCATGCTAGGGAATGAATCCAGGGCTTCACAGATGCCTGGCAAACACTCTAGCAACTGGGCTACACCATCCATCAGAATCTCAGTTTTTCAGTCTTTAAAAGGGGATAGAAATGCAAGTATTATGGGAGGCAAATTAGAACGTGTGTGCAACATTCTAGTGCACAGCTGGCAATTAGGTCAGGCACATGGCAACGACAGTGAAGATAACTGGAAGTTAGAGGAGACAAAGTCCTCAACAACCCATGGAAGGGCTAGTCCTAACACATAAGACCTCGGTGATGGCACAAAGAATTTTACATGGATCTGAAAAACATGAGGACACCCTTAGGAAAGAAAACTCAAGCTATGTGCTTTATACTGTGGTAATCATAAGTACTGACTCATGTGTGGGTGACTGTATGCCCTCTCTGTCCCGCCATGTGGGGATTATCTGTCTAGTGAAATCACCTCCCCAGGGGGAAGCACAGAAGGAGACTTAACTTGTCACTCTTGCGTGAATTTCAATCCCAGATACCCAACCCAACTTTTTTTTTTCCTCATTAATTCTCAAAAAACTTTAAATGGCTGTTCTAAAAACAAACATCAATGAAACCTTTTCACACCAATGGCCCTTTTCAGTCAATAGAAAGAGGCTGTCGAGCTGTAGTTTTAAGTATTTAGGAAGCATAACTCCAAGCTCCACTTATTAGCCAGCGTGTTTTCTCCTTACTGTGCATCAAATGATCTCCATGCCAGCAGCTCAATGTTTTAGAACGGCTCTCAGACAATAGATGGAGTGGGCTCCATACTGTACACTTGATTTCAGGTCATGGCCTTGTGTGCTGTGTTTAGGTAATTTTAGATTCCAAGAAACCTGGTAATGAGGATGTGGGGCTGATGAGTGCCATAGTGCCCAGAACTAAAGCCTTTGTTCTTTACGTGCAGCTACTTTGAACTGGAGAGCAGTGGCCCAAGGGAAGAAATACGCTACCATTACATCCATCGTGGGAAGCCCAGGACTGAGGCCCTCCCCTACCGCATGGCCGATGGACAGTGGCACAAGCTTGCACTGTCAGTGAGCGCCTCTCACCTCCTGCTCCATGTCGACTGCAATAGGTATGCTTGACTTTGATCTTCAGTGACTCTACCCTCCAAATATCATTCTGTCTGGGGAAGGGGGTAAAATGTTAACCCCCCCTTCACCAAAACCAGGGGACTTTAATTGTCATTTAACCTACTGAATGGGCCATTAGGCATGCTGAAATGACCAACTGTAATACGATAAGAAAACAGTTCATTAAGATGAAACTGTATCCTGTGATTAGGAACAAATGTAAAAAAGGTTGATTACAGATTGGGGACTATTAACTGCCCCTCAGTGAGCTCTCAGCACTGGCTGAAGTTCCATGGAGCTGTGACCACAGTTAACTGTGATATATTGTCAGGGTCATTCCACTTGGAAGTGAATAAGCCAGTCTATGTTAGGATGAGTCCGAGAAGCTTTGCAGCTGATTCTGTTTTATTTCATCAAGAACAGCTTTGCTTTAGTTAAGCAGACACTTCTTAGAGAGGCTTTTAAAAGTCCTTTATGGTTGAGACCTCCCAGGCTCTGCAGGGGAAGGACTATGCTGGCTTATCAGTGGGGGGCAGTGTCACCTGGGTGGGTGGAACTTCATAAGAGGTTGTTGGCTGTGGTGAGGAAGAAGTACTATCTGCATGTCTGTTTCTGCAGGCAGGCTCACTGATAGCTGAGAAGGGGAGGGGACCATTGGTCTCTACTGTATCATTTGTGGGTGGACAGATGGATAATGGTGGTCAATGTTTTGATCTTTCCACCCATTGAAAATTCTTTTGGATTGTGACCCAAGGCTAATGATAGAGGTTCTCTCTCTCTCTCTCTCTCTCTCTCTCTCTCTCTCTCTCTCCTTCTCTCTCTCTCTCTCTCTCCCCCCCCTAACCCCCCCCCCACCCCCCTCTCAGCAGTGCATATGCATTATTAGCTTCAGCAATGATGCTGTCCAAGTTAAAATGACCATCCAGCCACAAGGCATGTTCCCTGGGTCTCAGGGTATAGGCTAAACAAGGTGGGATAGCCTTTTATCTAAAACCCACGTAGACAGGGGTGTTCCAAGGACACTCTGTATCGGACTGTCAATCTGATGAGAAGATGCTGCAGTGCACTTACCATTTTGGTGCTACCATCTCCTCTAGAGGACTGGGGGACAGGAGAGTGTGTCAGGATCAAGGCAAGGTCTGCCCTACTGAATGCAACTTGATCTGGCTGGATATGATCTATTGAAGATGCTCTCCAGGCATTTTCGATACTGATGCTTCCAGTGAATACAATGTGTATGTCCGGGGAGAGTCACTGGTTATTTTACCCCACAGACTTGGGCTGCACAGCCTGAATGAAGTCATCCTTTAGCTGCCCTCTTCATGTCTACCTTAAAGAGCTCATTGTTTCCTCCATCTTGATAGAACAAAAGTGCCTCCTGAGTCCATGGTCTACTGACCACTCAGGCACTTCCCCCATGAGATTGCAGAGGAGGGAACTGCAAGCTTCCTGAATCCATTGGCCAGTTTTGGAATTCCCAACTGAGAAGCCCCAAGATTCTTGCCCTATTCTTGCATTGCATTTGTATACATTGTTATTCCCAACACTTTACTATTCCGTGGCATTGCTCATTTTGGAGAAGAGAAAGATAACAGAGTGTGTCTCCTAAGTTAGTGTCTCACACTCAAATTCTCTGATTCCAGTTCAGTAGCCTCTTTCTCCTCTTGAGCCACTTGCTAATTGCATGAGTTCAAACAGTTTAATTTCGTTGCATGTCAGTTTTATCTTCTTTTAAATGGTATTATTCATATTCACACATAGTACTTCTAAGTGTGCACTGTGTAAAGGATATTTTAGTCAATGACAAAATGGTGATCTCCATTGATGGGTCCCCAGGAGATGATGTATAAGCCCACTTGGTCATGTCCCCAGAGTGATGAAATTGTCTCCCCATTCATTTGTCAGTGCATACTGTCCTGAGGCACTATAGATCTGCATGTGTGCATGAACAGACATGGAGAATATTCTGAGGCTGAGACCTTTGGTCCTCAGTCCACATCTCTCTTTGCTGCTGTCACTTATGCCACATACCTGTGTTGTCTTTGGCCTTGATTCCAAACCATTCCCATGGCTTGTTCATCAGAAGTGACAGAGAAGAGGACATGAGTGCTGTAGCTTTGGGATTGACCTCATTTTGGCAAAAGTGTGGAGTGTCTATATAGCCCCCCTTCTTTCCTTGATACTTTTCACTCTTTGGCTTGTTGCTAACATGGAGGATCTTAGGGGATGTTTGAGTTTGCTCTTACTGGAATAAACACAATGACAAAAATAGCTGAAGGTGGAAAGTAGTCATTTCCACATAAGAGTACATCATCACGGGAAGCCGGGGCAGCAGCTCACGTCCGGAACCTGGAGGCAGGAACTACTCAGGAACTATGGAGGGACTCACTCTCTTGTTCTAGGACCCATATTCAGCCACCCTTTTTTGTGCAGCACATGCGCATCTGCTTAGGGATGGCCCAAATCCATAGTGGGCTGAGCTCTCCCACATCAACTGGCCTACAAACGTTCTCTAATGATTTTTCCTTCTTCCTTGATGGCACCAGTTTGTGGCAAGCTGATAGCAAATCTGTCAGCACAGGAGAGAAACATGTGAATCTATTGGTAATTATTGAGTGAAGCCCCCCCCAACACAAGCATACCTTTTAGATAAGTTGCTGGGTAACAGACCTAGAAGGAAAAGGTACATATTGATTCTTCTAGAGAAAAAAATCTAGAAGCATGGGTTCCAGAATGGTGGACTACATGCATAATGTTACCTGGGGAATTTACTAAAAACAGGCAGGCAGGGCCATAGCTGACCTACTAAGGGTGGAACTGAAGATGTTTTTATTTTTAGCTGACACCTAATGTTTGTATACATTTAGAGGACCACATGATAATTCAATACAGTATACAATATATTTTGATGAAATGTGGGTAATTAGCCTTTATCTCCTCACACATTTATCATGTCTATGTGTCTGGGAACCTTTGGATTCTTCTAGCTACTTGGAGATATAAACTGTTGCCAATGAAAGTTAGCCCACTGAACTGTAGGATTTTAGAACAATTCCCCCTATCTTTTTGTTATCGAACCCTTGATTCCTACCCTTTAGGGATCACTGTTCTCTTCTCTTATTCTGTTTTAATGTTTTAAGCTTCCACAAATGAGTGAGAATGGGAGCTATTTGTTCTAACATGGCTGGATTATTTCACTTGACATCATAGTCTTTACTGCCAGTCACATTGTCACAAACGGCATGCTTTAATTCTGATTCATGATGGATATCTCATGGCATATATTTTATAAAGCTCTCTCTATTGGTTTTGTATAGGAAGTTTAACCTCAGTGAATGGACTGACATTCCAGAGCCACTGTTTAAGCAGAGTGTGTGTGGGGGGTGATGTAGAAGTTGGATGCCTATGAGAAACCAGGGCTTGGAAATCAAGACTGGAAGTGCAGCCCTGGAGAGGAAGAGATGAGGATGTGGGACAAAGTAGTATAGGGAGCAAAAAACATGCCCGTTCTCTTCACAAGTTGCTCCTCAGGAAGCATGAGCTGGCCCTACAGTGACATCAGCTTGGCCACTTGTACCAGTGTACTTGTCTACTCCTCATTGTCCAGGTCATTTTTATAAAGAGGGAATGTCACAGAGACTTACTACCCTTCTAGCTGTGCCTTTCAATCCACCTTGAGATCATCTCTAGTTTTTTTTGATCTTTCTTATCCTGTCCCATTTTTCCCTCCCAACCCATCACGCATCGGAGTCCTGTTGGTTAGATGGAGATGATAGAGCTCAAATAGACTGATTGTTGACTACACTTGGCCATTTAGTGTAAGATTTTATTTTTAGGATGAGGAACCCTAAGATTACAGGTCTGACTGTGAGCATCTGCTGTGACTGTTCAGGTCTGACTGTGAGTGTCATCTGTGACTGCTCATGTCTGACTGTGAGTGACTGCTGTGACTTACTGATCAGATCTGACTGAGAGGGTCTACTGTGACTGTTAAGCCATATGGTGGTGGTGGCTACCACTAGAGTTACAACATAAGAGAAGTCAAGGATGGCTCAGGGGCATCCTTTCTAGTATTTTCCTATCCAGTATTCCTATGTGAAATCTAATGAACTTGTGTCAGGAAGGGGCATCCTTTCTAGTATTTTCCTATCCAGTATTCCTATGTAAAATCTAATGAACTTGTGTCAGGAAATAGACTTGTGTTATTGATATCTATTTAGGCTTGATAATTTGCTAAGCTAAGTAGTTCCTAAGATAACATTTAGTGACTGCTTTCTTAGGCTCACAGACTAAAAAAACACCCAAAGAAGGTAGATGACTAAGTTTCAGTCACATAAGCATAAAAACAAAACCTTGAGCTGGGAACCACCTGCCAAACCTTAGTCATGCCACATCTCCAAGTCACCTTCACAGTGTGCTAACATTACATTCTGCTTAAGACAAAGTCTTCCAAGGGCAGAGATACTGGAAGCTGTGAAGAGCATCTGGGATTAATGAGTCTGAAGAATGGGAGGGAATCTTGGTCACACTTCACTCAAGAGATTAGTGCCTGGTGGTTTGAATGAGAAATGTCCCCTACAGACTCATGTATGTGAACAGTTGATCCCCAGTTAGCTGGGGAGGTTATGGAATATTAAGGAGGCAGAGCCTTGCTGTAGGAGGCATGTCTGTGGTGGGGGTGGTGTTGAGACCTTGTAGCCTGGCTCTACTTCCATGCTGGAACCATAAACCCAAATAAATACTTCCTCAAGTAGGTTTTGACAATTTCACCACAGCAACAGAAAATAACCAATTCAGTATCTATGTAATGAACTACAAAATTTAAACACCAAACATCAGTGACCAGGCCAATGAAATGAACAGACAGTTCTCAAAAGAAATACAAATGGCTGAAAGTCATTTTTTAGATGTCCAACATCTTTAGCCCTCAGAAAATTGCAAATTAAAACTGCATTGATAATTCTATCTCATGTTTGTCAGAATGGTCATCTTTGAGAAAATA